CATAAGTAGGGGAAAATACCCCATTTTGACCATGGCACGCAAAATCCATGGGTGTGTTTTGTTTCATTTATCCAGCTTGGTGAAAGAGTACAGCATTCTGACTGATGGTCCAAATTTTAACCTTACACTCAAAAATTATGACAAGCAGCTAGCAAGGGCTTGAAGGCAAGGGAGTATTTTGGGGTGTTTCTCCTAAAACTCCCACTGTTTCTTTTCTTAAAATCCCCATGATCTCATTACCTGATCAGAGAAAGACAAATTTCTGTACCCTGAACTGCACAGACTTGAAAGACCATGAAAGGGGCAAAGCACTCATAGTCAGGACTCATGTTTAGATATGGCAGGTAGTTCAGAGAGCACTCAAGGAAGAAGCAGCACCTTTCAAAGAGTGACACCCAGACCCCCAGACATGGGAAGGCAGCAGGCACTGCCTACGTATGATGGGAATTTCAGACTCGGTGTGTTCCCTTCTGTCATGTTCTATTTGTTAACTTCTCTGAAAGACAGAAGGGGCTGCTTTGGGGAGGAGTGGGTTCCAAGACAATGCTCTTGTCCATAACCATCTACTTCCTGCTTGCACAGCAAGCAAGGAGGCCTAAAGATATTGCCCTGTTGCTGAAACAGGGACACCCTGAACTAAAATTTACTACAGTTCAAATCAGTAGAAGTACTGTCAACCTTCTAACTGAATTATACTATTTCAAACTTTATCAACTAATTTATCTTCCATCAGCTTCCTCCACACTTCCACTCATGCTGCTGTATTAACATTTGAGAACGGTGTATCAGGTTGGTCATGCTGCAGCTAGTTGTTGATTTACATTTATTTTTCAACATGGGAGGTAGAATAAAACAGGACTAGAAATATTCTTCCATAAATCCTCTCATGGAGTTCACAAACCTTCCCCTGCCCTCTCTACTCCAGTCCCCTTGTTAATTTTCAGTTTCATAAGCTGGTTTGACGGAGTCAGAAATAAACACAAGATGGTTAGAGCTGTCTTGGCAGCCTTCAGTGAATTCCCACCACAAGCACTTTCACATCCTCCAGCAAGCAAGCAAGCCAAGGTGTTTCGTAAGAGCAACCAACAAATCTTAATGAATACATTTAAGAAATTAACTGAAGCTTTCACAATTTATGCTGTAGCATTTTCTAAGGGTCTAAAAACCTCACCTCAAGCAACCAAAAGCAGCTTTTCACAAAAAAGCTGTTACCAACAGACCCTGTGTAAGAAGGTGTTTAAAATGTACACAAGCAGAGAAAGAGATAGAACTATGTTTGACCAGATATTCTGATTGATTTTGTAATGGAAGTCTGGAAGTCTAGCACAACATAAGAGTTTATCCACAGAGTAGAAATAACAGTATTAACCCTATTCTAAGACTCTTCTAACACATATCACAAACCAGTCTGTACTAATATTGTTCCCAAACTTAACCATCAGCATCTGCTGTTTCCCCTACCTCCTAAATAGAGAGTGAAAAGAAGCAAGGCAAGAAGTAAAACAAATGGCTCCTATGGTGCAACCCAACCTCAACCAGAAACAAGAACATCACGAACAAAACGTTTTTCTTCTATTATTGTCATTGAACAAGTGTTTTGCTTGTCCTCTTTACCTGCAAAAACACTCTGTTAACTACAATTTCAGGAGGTAACTAAGTGAAATGAACATATCTCAAATTGTCTCCTCACCAGAGATATACAAAATAAAGAGAGAAGCCAAAAGATAGTGCAAGTTATTTTTATAAAGCTCTTCAACAGATCTTGGTTTGATCTTGATTGATCAGTCCTGGCAAAGTACTGGAAGCTCCCAGAGGACCTGGTGCACTTTACCACATAAACTGGATGCCTTTCTTCTCAGTGTAGTAATGGAGAAGACAATGGGAGCATGTGAGCTCTGCGGCAGTCTCTCTGGCTCTTCGGCATGTGCAGTGTTCCCAGGTACAGGCAGCTCTGGCGCAGCACAGCTCAGACACCCCCACCTGCTCCACAACTCTTTCTGGGGTCGCTATCGCTGTCAGTCCCACACTCTGACCATGCCCAAGTTCTTTAAGCGCCAAAGAACTCAGCAAGGACACAGGCTAAGAAGTGGGCAGATGATGCCATGCAAAAGATGGGATAAACTGGCATTTAAAATATGAGGCATTAAAAAATGTCTTTAAGAAACTGCAGATGCCTGCTGTGAACCCAAATGGGTGAAAATTTCATCCCTTACATAAAGACGTTTTCTACGGAGGACAGAGTGCTGATTGCCTATTTACACATTTTTTTTTCTGATTTTCAGTGGCACACTTTTTCCATGTACACAGTTACATGAAAAATACCACTGAGTGTCAGTTTGACTGCTCCAGTTACCGAGTGACTATTTTGTTTTTTTCCAAACTGCTTGCTGACGAAGGGTGGGGAGATATTTAATGACAGGGTGTCTGAGGTGACCATGTTGTGCTCTCACAAGATAACAGAAAAATAAAGCACAGCCTTTTGTTCATTTCTGCTTGATGTAACTCAGTAAATTCCTTCTTATTCATGCAGAATATTCATTAACATTTTGGGGAAGATTTGAAAAGAAGATTTTTTTTAACCTTGTCTCATAAACATTTTCAGTGGTAACCTGGATATTTTCTTCCTTCCCACTTCCCTACTAAGACTTTTTATTAAACCACTAACTATAAGACGATGTCTGTATGCTAAGTTGGGACTAATTTTGCTGTTGCTCAGTTCAATGACCAATGACTCAAGGAGTTCACAGGTAGCTTGCTTGATCCTTTTATTCAGAATTTCCAAGATACATATTTTAAATGATTATACTGATGAATACTAAACACAAAAAAAATTCTTCACCTCTGCTTTATTTTCCTCATGTTCAAACACCCCAGGTTGTTTATCTTCATTTATGAACTCTTAGTATACACCTATGCTGCAGGCTTTTCAGAGCAGGTAATATTTTATTATTAGTCTGGGTATTACATATCGATTTGGTGTTCTAATCTCACATCTTTAAATATTGTTTTAATATAAACTCAATAACACTGATGATGATAAATAGAGAGTGTTTCTAGGACTTTAGACCATGGATAGATCCAGACTGTGAAGCTCAGATGTGAATACAAACTTTGGAGAAGCTTGAGGTTCATTTTAGGGACAACTGAAGGTCACTCCCTCCTAATGAAACATTCAGAAGTTATTTGTAGCTCACAGTGACATTTAAGCATTACCACATATACCATGACTGTGATTAGTTTTTGAATGAGTGTGCCTGAACTGTGAACTCATCTTACTGATCTTCCTAACCATCACTGGTCAAATCTGAAGAATAAAACAAACACGCATATGAGGTTCTATGTAATTTCATATAGTTATTGCCCCAAAAGTGATCTAATGGACAATTCCGCAACAAAAGAACTACTGAGATCAAACTCTCTGATCAAGCAAGACCATTATTTTTGTGACAAAAGTTGCACCTGAAGATACTGAAAAATCACCACCCCCTAAGGAGCTCCCTGGAAGGAAACTTGTTACCACACAAAATGCAACTTTGCACATTTTCCCTCAGGTTGGAGTTTACTTCCTAGTTCTTTCAATGATGCCATGTTGAAATATTTAATGCAAATTTTGAAAAAAAAAAAAGAAGTGTTCAGCTTTAACGAGCCAACATTGCACATTTCTCACCGTTGCTCTCACTTAGCTTCTACCTATTTCAGCTCTATAAATGCAACTCAGAAAGCTTCAGATAAAACTAAAATTTACGCTGAGCTGTTGTTTAGTTGCAAAAAGCTTTTTCTAGTCTTTGGTCAAAACTCTGCAGCTCTATCCTGCTGGCTCCATGTTGCTCTGCAGGATATTTCACAATGACTGTCCTCTTTCAATGCTATCCCAAAGAGCAGAGACTATGTAGTATCAGAAGGAGGTGAGAGAAAAGGTTACCAACCCAGCAAGCTAACCTGCACCGACTACATTTCTGCTCTGATCAAATCTCATTTGTTCAAGGATTTCTCCTCTGAACAGAATATAGAAATACAGTAGACATCTCTTGACAAGAACACTTGTCAAGAGCAACTAAGGGTTACCAAAATATACATCCATGTGGCACCATGTCATAAGCACAGCTGAGAGGAAGGACATGTGGTTAAGAGGAGCCTGCCAAAAGATTACTTACCACTCGCTCCACACACTCTCATCTACACATCATGAGAACAAAAGCTCATCTCCTTTAGCACACAGCAGAGCTACTTCTAGTCCTTACAACAGGACAGCAAGTGGTTTGGGTGGTGTTTTTTTTTTTTAAATACAATTTCACCCACATCACCAGACACAGACTGATGGTATCAGTAAAATTATATGGTAATGGAGTTGTGGCAGGTACCTCTGTGTTATACATACCTCCATCTGGCTGTAAAATAAATAAATGAAGAAATGGAAGGGCTTAGATTTCTCCTTTCCACAGCACTTGCCCCTCTCTCCAGCTGCTACTTCCCAAGACACACACAGAAGCTCAATAAAACGCATCTGTCAGAAAGCACAAGTAGGACAGGATCCACTGCAAATGCACCTTCCACTCTTGCCATGGTTTCCCCTTGAATCTTTCACCTCAATGTGACATTGTAGTGTGGTCTGAATTACCTTTTACACTCAGCTCAGATTCTCATCAGATTGTTGTAATCAAACTCACATGAGAATAGCTTTCATTTCCTATTGTCTTCCTACCTACACTGACTCAAGAAGTATTTCTACTCCAGGAAGTATCCCAGGGGGCTTTGCAGCTGAAGGGAGAGAAATGGGATTTGTCATTAAAAAAAAAAAAAAGAGAAGTAGAAGAATTGAGCCAAAATTCTACACTCTGTCTACATCTGCCTCTGCCCTTACTTACCTGATAAATAAATGAAAAGCTAAATGTGGTGGCATTTAATCTAGTTATTTTGACTGCTGTCAGTGCAGATGCCCATAGTATCAACTCATACAACCCTCAACAATTCTGTAAGATATAAAAAACAACCCTGCTTACCTTTCATCCCAAACTTTGAGTGTCTTCCAAACTTCAGAATAATGAGCATTATTACTAAGCCAGTGCACACCAGTGCTGCAATTCCCACCACAACATACACCTAAAAAAAAGAGGACACAAACATCTGCTCGTCTTGCTCTCATGAACTACCTTCAAAGACATTCAGCATACATTCAGATAAACCCATTTAGGTAAAGAGATTCATTTCAACTGGGAAACATTTACACTCTGATCAAAGAGTACAGAAAAAAGACACTTGTCGAGGTTTCTTCTATCTTGCAGAGAACAGAGATTCAGACACCCCCAAGAACAACTTTTTCCAACATCCTACATATTCAAGGCAGGTGGGAGGGAATGCACATCACCCCTTCCCCTTCTAGCGAAGTAGCATGTTGTATGAAAACATGTAAGAAAAGCACATAGGAAAAAAATTTTGCCTGTGCGGGTGGTTGTACCTCAATACAGTTTGCCCAGAGTGGCTGCGGAGTCCCCATCCATGGAATTATCAAAGCCAGAGTGGACACAACCCTGAGCAACCATGCTGGCCCTGCTTTAAGCAGGGGGCATTGGACCAGAGGATTTCCAACCTCAGCCATTTATTGATTCTGTTATCAGTTGAGACAAGACTGTCTGGGATCTTCCTGATCTTCTACCACAGTGTCCCAACTCACAGCTTGCCCTTGGGTTCACAAACTCACATGCTCTCCACTGCCTGATGCTTTAGGGAGTCACTGGTGTGGGGAGGCAGCAAGATCAACCAGGCTGGCCACCCGCTACCAGTTTCCAGCAGTGCAGTTCAGGAGACCACAGGAGACAAGGCAGCAAACGAGGAAGCCCACCAATTCAGCTACTGATACTAGAACCTACTGCAAATTATTTGGTCATAAACCTACACGAAATCTTGTTTTAAAAACATACAATTAGAATTTTAAAGTTCAATGCAGCACATTCTCTCTGTAAGGAGGAGCTGACTCCAGGACTGGAATTCAAGCAATCATCTTCAAATTACCTTAGATGTTTTTGCTTCGTAAATCAAGAGTTGCTCTCTTTGGCTAAAATTAGAAACAAAGTTTTAGGCTAAAAAAATACAGTTAGTAGTTTGGAAAACCATGAAATAACTAGCAATTTTACTTGGATTGAAAAGTGATTCACTCAAAAAATGGAGGGAGGACAAATGTGGGGAGCATTGATTTTCATTTTTTTCCCCTTTTTTTCTGAGTTTTGATCACAACACAGCAGTAATAGTTCCGGTGTTCTGGTAGCTGAGGGCCCTATTACAACCTCCGCAGTTTTGTGAGTTGTATAGCCAGAAAGTCCGCCAAGATTACAGATCAGGAAACAATATATATACTTACAGTGATGCTATCTTCATTCTCTTTGTTGGAAACATCCGTAGAAGTGATTTGATTACTGTTATTTGTGGTGTCTCCAAGATCATTAGGCGTGGTTTCATACTCTTAGGAAAGGAAGAAAGGTGGCTTTTATAATTTTGTAACTTTAGAGGGGAAAGGGTTGTCTTTATGAGTACAGCTCTCTGAGATGGTACAGTTACTAACCAATCTGGGGACTTTGAGCTCTTGGGAAACAATATGTAATTGCTAATGTAGCTGGAACATTTTGGGGAGGATCCCTGTGGCAAACAATCAAACAAATGTGTTGTGACCAATAAAGTTGAAGTGAGAAGGTATCTACATCATAATGTGTATCTCTGCCGGAAAAACCAGAGTTAAATAAGAACTCCATCCATAAAGCTATTTTTATGTGCTTCTGACTTCCCATTAAAAATGAAAGACTGCCCTCTACACTGAACTTCTCCAGCCTTGTATTCAGCCAAATATAGGACAGTCTCAGAAATTAGCTTGGGGACTTTGGTTTAGTTGCGAAGAACTTAGCAGATGGGATTTTTAGCTAGTTTATTAATGTGAAATAGATTGTTTTCTTCATTTAAAAAAGAATTTAAAAATACTGTTGTATACGAAGAGGTTACAGTCTAGCATCATAAACTGTTGTACAGGTAAACCTTAAAAAAATTAAATGCCTGAGATGGTATAAAGAAATCTGACTTATCAAAATAATTCCACTGACAGGTCTCCAAGGGTGATTCCAGAACCATCAAAAGGAATCAAAATGGTTAATTATTTATAATTATTTTAAAATGAAACACAGATATTTACAGTCCATGATTTCCTGTCAAATTATTCAAATAAGATTTAAAAAATTAAATAATATACATATGAACTTAGGGAAATGTACATTAAAATAAAAATTTTAAATGTATATATTTTATTATTATTTATGGAAATGTACCTAACGTTTCAATTTTGTGACTGTCATGTGCGTAGATGAAAGAAACAAAACAAGGGCAATAACTGCATATGTTACAAAATGCACTCCAGCACTGCAATTTGAATTTGCAATTAACTGCGTATTTCTTTACTCAATTCAGTTAAAATCAGTGGCATAAACCTACAGATTAAATTCTAACTGTGAATCTGAAAAACCAGAGCACAGAGGCATAGCTCTCACTGACTACAGAGGCAGGAACAATTCTAATCGGAGAGCTACTCAGCAAAGGCAGGGAGGACCTGCACCTCAGTAGAGTTTATCTTTTTTAGCTCCCAAGGCCATTTTGGAGAGCTCAGCTAGTAATGCTAGCAACAAGCTGCACTGGGCTTTTGATCTTTATGCATGCATGAACACATTTGCTTTCTGCAAAGCACTTGGCAGGGTGCAGATTTTTTTAGTACGTGAAGCTATGCAGCTACCTCTGGCACCAGCGCTACAGTCAGTACAGTCAGGTTGTCTAATCAGCTCACGTAGTCTATTTTGGCTCTACACCACGCATACCGAAGGACAGGGCTCCTTCAAACCAAAACACATATTAGGTGTACAGAGCTTTCATGAGAAACAATATTTAATTTCCTGGTCCTTTACTGTTTGAATTCTCCAGCTCAGCACTGCATCTCTACGCCTGTAGCTTCCTAAGCAGTAAGGCCAGAACAGCCGTGAGAGGCAAGCGAACAGCGCTCCTTACTCCGGGCAGCACAAACCCTGCCGGGATGGCTCACCTGTGCAAGCAGCCTGGACACTTGGACAAGGTGCTGGGCAGGCCATCTGCCACCATGACTACACACTTTGCCACAGCAAAGGTGGAGTCATCTCTTCTTCATTCATTTGCAGGCACAGCCCGCTTTGTAACAAGTATCTTAGCCTTCAAGGTGGAGCTTCCTTTACAATTAGCTGGGAAGAGTTTGATAAAGATAGTTTTGACCAACTGCGTATTTATTTATGGTAGCTTTAGAGACCAATATATAAAACAAATATTTAGGGTCTTCACTGCTCTGTCTCTGTAATACAAACTTTCAGGAGGGAAATTTTTTCCTCTTAATTTTAGCTGTCAATAGTAGTGGGCAAAAGTGGTATTTGCAATTATGTTCATGCTTATGTCTGTAATGAGCTACTGGAAATCACTGGAAATTAGAACTATGCAGCGTGTTTTGGGTCTGGCCTCTGCATGCACTTTTATATTAAAACGGGCATGAGCTAAAGTAGGCCACATCAGTACACGGCACTGCCATTCCCTGCTGTGTAACTGTGAGGCGCCTGCATTAGAACTAGTGCCAGATCTTCAAAGCCTCTTGAAGTGGGTAAGCCAGGCAAGGAAAACACCCACAACAGCTACGCCGCCAAAAACGGGGGATTCTGAGTTAAACAAATTCCTGTTCATTTTACTATGAAGTTCTAACATAGGCACCGAGCACTCTTGGTAGAGACAGGGTCACGCCTCTTGTCTCACGCTATGTTGGACTCGCATCGCTTCAGGGCCAAGTTCTCCTGTGCCGCGTATCCAACGCAGCCAGCTGTGACTACACCAACTGCTGTAAGTCGTATAGGAGGCTGGGCAGAATTTTGCAGCCATTTTACAAACAAGATGCATGGAGCCTGGGATACAGATGACCACACAGTCACACCAGCACCAGGGGGTCACTCTACGCAGACCTCTTGATGCGGGCTGGGTGATATGGGGCATGTTTTCTCTCTCACGGTCACAACCACGTTAGAAGCAGCAGTGTGGCATGAAGATGAGAACCCAGAGGCAAAGAAGCTGGTGGTGCATTTTCCTCCTGCTCAGCCCCAGGTGAGTCGCTTTATTTCTCTCAATTACTTCCCAGACGGAGCCAGGATAGCCTTTTCCAAGAGGTGCCACAGAGGTGAGCTGGAGACACGAGCGACTGCTCCAAGCTTGCAGCAGGCAGAGTGCCCCAGTGCAGCCATGATTCTCCCTGGCAAACATGACATCACGCAGGCTGTTGCAACCTCATCAGGTCTTCAGTTGCTCACTGTATGCTCAAAACACTTAACGGAAAACATTTGGAAAACACCCCACATGGAGCACAGGACACAAAAGTTCAATTCCGAGCTATGAAGGGCTTTGCTCCATGCCCCATCCCTGGATGTACTCAAGGCCAGGCTGGATGAGGCTTTGAGCAACCTGGTCTAGTGGAAGGTGTCCCTGCCCATGGCAGGGGGGTTGGAACTAGATGATCTTTAAGGTCCCTTCCAACCCAAACCATTCTGTGATTCTATGATTCTATGCAGAGGGGTACTGGAGGCCAGGGTCCCCTGCCCTCTGTCACTTCCATATCCTAACAGCCCAGCCCTGCCTTGCTATGGGTCTTGCTGAACCAGGCCCACCTGTGGGTCCATGGCCTGGCCTTGGCCCCAGGGCAGTGCCCAATGCCTGGAGATGTGACTGCCTGTGGGCTGCTCCACTCCTGGCTGGGGTGGTGGGACAGGCCTGGCTGCCAGGCCCTGCCCTGATGGACCCCCACGGGGAGACTCCGGCCCTGCAGCAGTCCGACACTTGCTGGGAAGTGCCTTGCAGCTCCCATTAGCAACTTTACCTGTAGCTAACAGACTGACAGACACACAGCTAGCCTCAGTGCCCAAATCCTCTGCCACTGCCTTTACCTTTCGCTCTAGGCCCATCTGCAATGCTCTGAAAAATGCGTTTTAGAGGGAAGCCTGTAGGGCTTATGTGTGCTTTAAATCCTCCTTCCAACATAATCTAAGCTGTGGGTAAACAGGTCAGCATAGAGATAGAGCGGCCTGAAAAGAAGTTATGAAAACCACTCAGTCCTGGGAAGTGGGGGAGCTCATCCCAGGGGTCCCACTGTCGGCCATGCAGGCAGTGGCTCTCTGAAGAAGTATAGCAGTTCCTAAACTTTCCAGTCTCACTGACTGACCTCACTAACTAAACTTGTGGATTTGGAATAATGAGGGAAACACTCTGGACCACAAAGTGTTTCTCAAAGCAAGCACTGAGTAACTGAAACAAAGATCAAAGACAGCAGTTTCAAACAGCAGAAAGAAAAGCCAGGAATAAAAAGGAAGGCTGCTTTCATCAGGACTAGGTCTTGCAGGCTGTGATCTGCTAACACAACTCGAAGCACGCATCTCAGCAGAAACCTACCCATGTCAATCGAAGCACAGCACTCACATGGTTAAGGCCCTGTACAGGCATCAGAACCTTGATAAACAGCTCAGAAACAAAATCTTCACACATTGAGCTTACATAATACAACACGTAAGAAATTGTGCAAACCATCACCACCTTCCCACCCCCCCCAAAAAAAAAATTTGGGAAGAGAGGGAGGGGAAGCTATACTTTAGTATTTCTAAGCACTTAAAGCCAAACTGACGCCTCAATTGCACATTTGCTAAAGTTTAATAACATGGAATGGAATCAAAGCAATAACATTTAAATCAGCTTAAGGAAACTTGAGTCATGGGCCATTTCACCCAAATAAAAATTACTCCAAACAGGATCCAGCTTCTGCTGGAAGCTAAAGGGTGTTTGGGTATGTTGGTTAGGATGGACTTTCCTATGCACCAGAAGTATTATGTAAAACTAGCCAGTTGCTTTTCATTCTGCAGCTTCTATTCTAGTGCACACTGGTTTTCACTCGGTACAGCCCAAAACGTTTCACCTAACTAAAAACTAATTTGAACATTGTGTCATCAATCTTCTGGCATGCACTCAGGTATCACTGAGCGGACGGTCTGCTTATGCAAGAGAGATTAAGGAAAGGTACAAATGAGCGGACAGAGCAAAATTAATTGCCTACAGGAAAACATACTTGTGCCAATCCCATTTTTAAGTAGGATTTAGGGGTACAGTGTTGGAGGCAAAACAAGTATGGAACCATCCCTGAAACAATAAATTAAGTTATATAAGGAGAAATCATGAACTTTCGGTCCTCCAAGAAATGCCTCAAAATGGTTTACAAAATCTCAAGCCTGTGAGCTAGATCAGGCAGCTGCCACCCTACAGAATCAACTACAACCATTCATAGCAGTGGATTTATGCTTGTCCTAATGTGAATCAAAAAGAGCAGGGTAAGTAAAATGTCATATTGCCCTCATGTATCTTAAATAATATGACAGGAGAAGAACGAAAATTGCAAAGTACCTTTTAGACCTGTGTTATAATATGTGCCATTTCAATTTAACTGAGCCTGACATTCAATCTTTTAATGGTTTCAGTTACTTCATTTCTATCATTAAAAAAAAAAGAAAAAGGAAATCAAATATATACCATAAACGTCTGGATCCACAATTGGGCCACTACCTGTACATGGAGAAGAGAAAAAAAAAACAAAAAAAGAAAAAGCCTTTGTAAATAGATTGCAAATGGTGGAAGAACAAGAGTTTCTTTAGGAATTTTTTTAAGAGTTGACAAGTTATTTGCAATAGCAATGATCAGTACCTACACAAATGCAAAGCAACATCAATATATTCCAGTACCTGTTTACCAGATTACATTTACAACCATTTTAGAGCTACCTCAAACGTTGATATTTTGCTTCATGTGCAACAGTTAATGCACAGGGCACTAGCTCTGGCAAAGGCAGGCCTGTTTCACTGCCAGGCAAAATTCTGCTTTCCGCTGTCAATGTCTATCTGGAGTAAGTGCAACAATAACTACTCCTGTTGAAAATTCATCAGCGGTGAAATTCTCCCTGACCTTAAGTGGAAACCAACTTCAGTGAGCATTAACAATGACTAACTTTTACCAGGTAAAAAAATGTTGCTATTAAATCACTGTGAGAGCAAACTGGTTTAGCTGTGAGCTGGCAAGTTAAGGGCTAGAGGTAGCAGTGACCTAAGCAGCATCATTTCATTCACTCTGTACAAGGATGCTTCCAAGAATCCAGCTGCACAGATGATACACAGACAGAACTCTTACCAAAAGAGTCAGATGTCTCAGAATCCAACCTTTACACAAGCAAATGGATGCTCATCTAGTCTGCACTTTACTGAATTTTACTAGTTCCAGTTTGCAGTTTTCTCTAATTACTGCACATACGTAAGGCTGAGCACATCTGTGAGTGCATTGCACAGAACACCCACTGAAATTAGCGTACTATTAGACTATTCAGGCGTGGAGAGATACTTCTGTTGTCTTTCAACATACCCATTCATTCTGGTCTATAATGCATTTATAGTGTAGCTTATGTAGTAGGCTCCTAACCACCTCTTTACTCTCTCTTTTCGTTGGTTTGGAAATAAAATCAACAGATAGTTAACATCTCTAAATAGGAATCAAACTTCAAATACCATAATTCTGTTCATAGAAGTATACAGTAAATCTATAGCAGTAGCATTACACTGGCAGAACGCCACTGTGAAGTATGACCAGAACAACATTGTTTCTGCTTTTGTCAACATGTGAGAATCTGTGTGGAAAATACGAAACAAATAAAGTTAGAACCTATTTGCAGAATGGCAGGAGATAATTAGAACTATTTTAAAATGCATTTTTAAAAACATATTCTAGTGTCCAGTGATGCAGGTTAACAGACGCCGTGAGAACTGTCATGTCAATCTGCAAAAATAATAAGTGAAGAAAGCCTATACTATTTGTCCTCAAGCAACTTCTGCCCAGGGTTTTCTGTCCATAAAAGTGTATGGGTTCAGTTTTTCCAGTATAAAACATCCATTTGCTGAAAGACAGTATTTCTAACTTACCTTCTGTAGTCAGAAGGGGAAAAAAAAAAAGCGCCAACAAAAAAACTCTCAGGCCTTTATTCCTGAGTTAAATAGCAACATTTTTGTTACTGTTTACTGTTTATCAGCACAGGGATAAAGTAATTAGATTAGTTTAATGGCTAACTCCTGCCAGGGATATAAACTAGGAAGTCATCAACTCCATTCAAATACCTTTTATCTAACTAAATACTGCACTTCAAATAAAGCTGCAAAAATCATGATGCTGGACAAAACCTAAATTTCTGTTTAGTATTCCCTACATCAAAACATATCTACTCAATCATCAAAACACAAATTAAAGTTATTCTAACATTAAACTTCACCTCAGTAATTCTGCACTTTTACACACAATTACTTTTAAGGAGAACACAGATCAGCATTATTGTTTTGGTCAGTTAGAACAGGTTGTTGTGCAAATAAACTATTCAGCAACTTCACCTATTCACTCCTCTTTATAAAAAACTACATCAACTACACTTGGTTTGCTTGCATTTTTCTTTATGAATTGGGCATTTTCAAAATAAAGCAGCAGCAAAAGACTAAATCCAAAAGCATCCCTTTGAAAAACAGCCCCATGTTGTTATCATGCACAAGCAAGATGCTATTTATAAAGCATACTTAACATATTCTTTTACTCTGACAAGATATTATGTGACTTGGATACCTCCAGATGAATTTTAGTGTAGAAAACTGGTAGATGAATAAGCTTAATTAAAAATACTTATTATTGGTAAAAATCTCTCCCACATTCATTAGCTGGTTTGGATGAACTATGAGAACAGCCTCCAGAATAAAATATGAACAATTTCTTGCTTACTGTTTGTGCAGTGTAGTCTCAAATAATTAAGTCATCCTCAGCAAGAACAGCTTCACTGGAATCCAAGATGTTTAACAGATTAAAGCTAATTAAAAATCTAGCTAATAGAATATGAATTTTAGTCTTCCAGGTCTTTGTATTTAAAACAAAGTCTTAATTTACAGAATTAACTGTGTTATCATTATCTCAATCCAAAGCTTTCCTCTCCTTTGTGCCTGCATCCTCAGACCAGCGAAAAATATTCCGCAGGTAGCATGCTGGAAGTGGGTAACATCCTAGCACAAATCATGTCTTCCTCATGTTGGATGCAACTTTGAAAGTGGAGTATCACATTGTTGATGACAAACATGCTTCAGACTTGTATTTAATTTAGAGAGACATATGGATTATAGGTGAGTTGGGTTTTTTTTAATTTTCTTTTGTTTTTTACCTTCAGAGCATTTGCCCATAAGTGATGCAATAACCAGAAGATCAATTTAAAGCTCAGTGAGTATACCCCACCCCATGAAACATCAGGGCTGGTATTTAATTCAGTCATGAAGGCATGGAAATGAACATAATACCAGGGCGTGGGCCTTAATCTTTATGCTTCATTGTACAATATGTGGGCCAAAAGAAGAAACTACACAGTAACGACAGCGCTGAAAAAGCCTTATAAGGGTTTGAAAAAGCCTGACAGTGCTTTAAATAGTAAAAGCTTAAAACAAAAATTGTAATACAGTGCACAGAAGTTTTTTAGCATTTACTTTTATGCCAGTTTCAGTGGAGGAGACAACAATGTTGTGACATTTTCTAAAGCACAATGCCATGATTATTACAGGAAAAAAAATATAAACAATATTGAGGAGACTAAGTAGATAAGTAATTTCCCCTGGCGTTAATTTTTAAGACTGGTTTGGTGCTGTCCACTATGCATGAACTGATTTCTAGTGCAGTTACATCCTGTCTATTCATAGTCCAGTTTCCTCTACGTTCTTTTTGTGAAGCTTAATCCACCATAGCGCTTGGGAAATGCTTAAAGAACACAGCACAGATTACCTTGGAAGACTTGTATGTATGATGAGTATAATGAGGATGGAACAAATAAATAATGCTGTCTTTCTAATGTGAAGGATACCTACAGTTGTATTTACTGACTTAAAAGAGCACAACAGAGAAATTGTCAGTGTACAGGGGAGAAGTATAAAGGAAAAACAGAATAGCAAAAAATATTTGGATCAAAGACAAAAAATTATAAATTCACCTAGAAGCATTAGAGGAACTATTATTCTGTTAAGTAAATGAAGCCAGGTTCATATTAAATAATCAGGCTGCAAGAGAACTTCCATGTACACCAAACATCTATGAGGTGAACTGTCTTACTGAACCATTACAGTACAGTATGAGAGCATGCCAGTAGCTGAAACCATGGCATGTTTCTATAATGAGTCTATTTAAGGCAGAAGTCCATAGAAAAAAGAGGAGAGGAGCACTAAGGACAGCAGGCGTACATAGTCCTGGTTGTACCAGCTCTTCACCCTCTCCTTCTAAGGGTGGGAAAACAAGAAACCTACCATGTCTCTCCCTACAGCAGAGTGAGCTGATAGGGAAAAATGTTAAATATGGATGATATTTTGCTGTCTATAGGCTGCAATGTAGGAGACAGTATTGAAATATTCACTTTTTTTCTGATAGATTACATTAGCACTGCACACTGCTCTTTCAAAAAAGAAGGCAGCTATTTCTATCCAACAGTTAAAAAGCCAAATGTACACACATGTTCATATTTTCAAATATGACTGTGCAATTATTTGCGCAAAACCATGCCTTTATTTCCACTCCAGCTGTGCAAGGTCCACTCAGAGTATTTTCCACATAGGAAATCTGCTTACGTGAATGCCTTCTTAGTCTTAGAGTCACCTCACATACGGTTTCAAACATGTGGGAAAAGATCAAACCATGGTGAACATCAATCACTTACAGCAGTCTGCAGTTCAGTGAGTTAGTACACCTTAATCTTCCTCACACAGCATTTAGGAGGGCTAAGGCAGCGTCTTTAGCGCTGCTGCAGATGCAGATATTTAACAATAACCATCTTGAGCAGGGATATTCCTAAGCATGTAGGTGCTGGAATGGGAATTGGACATCAAAATGCCTGTGAGGACCTGACACATTACCCATCCTGCCTCTGGGTTACTTGTTTTCTATTCAGCTCCCTCTGGTGTCCTAAAGAAAATATTATCAACAACTAGCTGGCCTGAACTATTGATTTGCAACAAGGCACTGGACACTACATAGGCATCCCCTGTGTCCTTGGATGCACTGCCTAGCTGCATTCATATGCAGTGCAGAAAACTTACAGGGTGGCTGGACAGGCAGTCAGTGCTTTCCAGGATCAGAACTGAGGCTTGAGAAAAGTCTTTTGCTAGCCTTAGGTGCACCAAGGATGGTTACTCAAAGTGAAGATTTACAGAGCCCTAGCATGGCCGCCCTTGAGAAGCAATAAACAAGAAGGAAATGCTCAAGAAAAAGAAGTATTTTACAACTAATCTTGAAGACATGCACCCAGAGAGAGAAAAAGAAAGCACATAAAATGTTTCCTCTGAAATTTAAAGTTAAACTAGCCAGGAGCACTGTCTCTACAGTCTCATCAAAACATGACTGCCAACATAAAAAAAAAAAAAAAAAAGATACTCACCATCTCCAGGCACTGACATGAAATGAGCATCAACCCGTTTTTCATCCTCTCCGTACTCATTCTTTGCCAGTAAGGTATAAGCACCATTATTCAGGTGGGTAGGATTGTCCAGCTGAAGGCAGCCATGGTATTCACTTTGATTGATAACATGTATTTTAGTACAGATGTATTCGGACTCATTCAGTATAGCCCCTTCATAGAACCACTGCAGTGTGGGCTTAGGGTTCCCTTTCACAGTGAATGGAATACACCAGTGGTGGTCCGGGGTTGGAGATTCAATAAATGTGATATTTGGTGCAACTACATTGGAAAAAAGAGTGAAGAATGTCAGAATAATCTAAGCATGTCTTTTCTCCCTTCCCTACCTCCCTCCAAAGTTATCAGGGAAGTATTTTTCATTCATCAGTACAAAATTATGCTATTAGTAGGAATGATACCTATTTGGATGGTAGTCATGCAGGAACCTACCTGCTCTGCCTAGGGTACTATGCTCACAACTGCAATGAAGCTGTTTTTTAGAAAGAAGCAAAACAAACCACTTTCAGACAAAGACTGAACACCTGTTAAATGACTTCAACCCTGTAAGGTGCGGGAAGTTCAGTTACTGGATCACTGTGAAGGGGGAGAGAGACATTTTAGCTGTACTCTGCTGAAAAAACGGTGCAGCGGAGTGCTGAAGGAACACAACAGTATCGAAAATATTTAAAAGTTAGCCAAAAGCAAGTAGTACTGGAAATACATTCAGCTAGGAATCCAAACTTTGAGATTATTTTCTTCACAGAATCAAAGCCAGAACAGATGACAATTCCCTGGATTCTTCCGTCAGGGAAAGACAATTTTCTACCATATATTTTCTCATTCTTTGTTCAAACCTGCTAAATGCCTCAAGTTTACAGACTTGTTCTGTTTTCCTCAGGAGATTATTCCAACACCTTGCCCATTATTTCACTATTGGGAAATTTTCCTTGATATTTATTCTTAACTGCATCCAATTTCATCTAGTTATACTCTCTTTTATCACTCGTAACAGTGCCAAGCTCAGAATCTCATTTACACTGTTCAAACATCTCTAGTTTATGTCCCTTCCCATAGTTATTACAGAACCAATTTCAATCTACAAACCTACATCTACAGCAATTTTGCTAGTTTACTCTGTCATGAGCACATGCTGCACAAAGTTTGCGATCTACAAAGCGTTCCATTCCCATCTTCAATTAAACAGAGGGTTGCAACTTGTAAAAACATGCTGTCTGGTTCACATAAAATGGATTCAGGCTTGAGCTTAGATCTAAGAAGCCAGTGCATCTACACTGCATGTCCCTTCCCCCTTCCTTGACCCTGACAAATAAGTCATTATTAAAAGCTATGACAAATAAATTTACATCTGGCAGTACAAATGTTGTATGTTATTTTTTTTTGAACAGAGCAGTTGCTGTTCTAGATAGTAAGAAATTAAACATTTGTAGTCTCTTATAATTAATTCTACGAGCCTTTTGATACATTCACATTTCTTAGTTCCAAAGAAGGTGAGTATCTACACGCACACCATTACAAACCTGCCCACAATGACAGTGCCACTGAGTATCTTGGGTTTCCGACCTTTACCTACAGATCGTTAAAACTGGAAGATAAAGCATTTAGAAATACAGTTTTTGCAGAACACAGGGCTGAAAAAGATAAATACAACAACTGCTGGCTGGGCTACTCGCAGCACTAACTGCAGTAAATAGGTCACATGCCTTAAGGGGTTTTGTTTCAACAACCTGAGTGCCCAAAAATATTTATACCCAAAACAGTTGCTGCCAATGCAGTTTGGCCTCAGGAGCTATACGGAGGCCTGCGTACGTACAGAATACCGTGAGCTCGGCAGAGGCTTGGTCCTCTCCCACAATGTTCTCTGCTACGCAGGAAATCCACAGTCCGCTGTCCATGGATGAAACGTTCTTTATGGTTAGCGAGGCAGGGTTCTTACTTGTGTCACTCTACAAGCGATCAGAGGAACATGTATGTGTCAACCGCAGCATAAAGAAGAAGGGAGAGGGAGGGAATCACTGGCCACAACCAAATGGCATTTTTCAATTTCCTTCCTTTTAGCTGTATCAGTCCACAGTTAATAAAAGCCTTACTTTAGTGTCTTATCCAAATAGACACAAAACACCTACAGAAACAGTTACAGCCATCAGTGGCAGTGGATTTAAAGCTCCAAAGTCCTGCTACAAACACTGCACGTAAGCATTTTTCTGTCCTGTCACTTTGATTCCTGCCTTCTTTTTTTTAAACACTTCTTTCCCTCTACACAAATGTTTTTTCCCCTACCTACACACTTACTCATCCCTCTCTTCCACTTCATGACTGGTTTCTATGGTCTATCTCTGCTCCCTTTGAACTTTTTCTTCCCTCGCATATTCTGTTCAATCCCTGCTTTACTCTTCCTTTTTTCTCTTTCCTTTACACTTACACTTGACATCTCTTCCACTGCTGCCTTCTGAGCTGTACTGTACCTTGACAACAATGTGCCTTCTCCCTCCTCCTTAGCCATATTTCTCTTCAAAGCTTCTTGTCATGAAACCTTACATGAGAAATTACATACCTTCTACTACCTAAGCTACTGCCCAAGTACGGTTTTATATGTTTAAGCACAGACTAATTAAGGTAAGATTTATGATTATTAGAAATCTTGATTCTTATGATTCTTAGAAAACTCAGTGCCCATTTACAGCCTTAAATGCCATATCGAATATGCAGCTATGCAACAGTGAATAAAGCAAATAAGGCTGAATTGAGGGGTGGGGTGGAGCTATCAAACACGGTTGTTAAAGACACTGGTTTTCTTAAATCAGGCCATTCATATAATCTCCAAATAATTATTACTTCCATACATGAAATTTTCATAAAATACAAGACTATTTCCTTTAAAAGGAAAGGAACCAAAACACGTTCAGAAAATAAACAATAATTAGGATCATTTTTTTAAAATAACTTTTGAGGTACTTTTCTTAGGGTACCCATACACTTCAGTGCTGCACAGAACACAAACAGCGCACTGCATCTGCATAGCCCCACAGTGTCTTTCAGTGGCAGTTAACAGCGACTTGTGGGAGCACTCCAGCATACAGTCCTGTGTGACCAGCATTTTGAACCTCGAGCTGACACTTTAACTCCACTTCAGCTAAACGTCCCTTTGGTTTCAGTGGGAGGTGAGTGGAAAAGCAAACAGCCCTTTACACATTTCTCTATGCCCAAATCTCAGAGGTGAGCAGTGCTCAGTGCTGGACTGAAAGCAGAGGGGCTCAAACCGTAGGCTCAGAGCTGAAATGTAGAGTGAGGAAAATCTAACCAACATCAATCGGATGATACATCAGCACAAGAACTGAGAGCATACAGTTAGCTTTGCAGGAGTAGAGTTTAGTTTTAACTGTCTTTAACGTCTATGTAAAACAGTAAAGAGAGAGAAAACAAGCAAAAGCAGCATAGGAGGTGAAGAAAAGGGAGGCAGAAACTGAGATATGGAAGTGAGAGAAAAGAAACCAAAACCAACACTCAAAGAAAAGGGAAGAATAGTTGTGAATGGCAAATGAGGTTTTAAAGGCACTCATTCTTCCGCTACTGAAAAGGCTACTGTGGTCCACGGTTAAGGTTGTAGCTAGCCTGTATTATGAGCTCCTCTGAAATCCAAAGATTAAGTTATGCCAGGATTGAATCTTTCTGGAAAGCTTGAAGCAAACTGACCATGGCATTTCAAAGACAGGAGGGTCAAAAAATGAGGTCATCTCACTTTCTGAACAGCATCCCACACTTGTTTTGGCACGTAACTCAAAAACAAACAAACAAAAAAACCCAGAAGAAAGAAATCGCAAACTTGGAATAGGTTTTTAAACTGTTTTAATTTCTTATTCTTGATGACGACTGATGCCTTTGGGTAGTTTTACAGGTTAGAGAAAATTTTTAAAATAAAACTAGAGCTCTGCAGAGCTCTGAGAGCTGAAAGACAGGCTAGTCAAATTGTATACAGTCCTGGTATGATGACCTCAAAGAAGAAGGTACAAGGATTATGAGATCCCAAAGGTCCCATCTCTTCCACACTGAAGGAACAGTTTTGGAATCCCACATTTTGTACAGACCAGGAAGCTTTAGGCAGTCTGCGCCATCATGAATGTGGGAAAGACAATGCCATAAAATTGCAAAAACAGAGGGTCTTCTCCACAGTATAAATAATGGCAATTTAAGAGGTCAGCAGCTGCATGTTGAACATCTGCTTATATGCTTCTTCTCAACACTTCCATCAGGAAGAACTTCATCATTGTACCTCCAGTGTGCACACAGTCTAAGGTAGGGATATAGAATACAAAGACCTCAGAAAACAAAATTCCCCCTGCTTATATGATTTGGAAACCTCTTCATATTTCATTAAAGAAACTTGCCATTATTTCCAGTAAAACCTTCATTTCGATTTCAAATGCTTCCTGTTGTTGTTTTGCTTGTTGAAGGAAAACTAAACAGAACACGAAGTAGTATTTATAATCAAATTCCACCACACCAAGCTTATGGCATGAAAATATAATAAAATTAGAGGCACAAAGCTTTTTTCATGATTAAGGTAGATTATTCTCTGTATACAAGTAGTGATAATAAAAAAGCCTTTGTGTTCCAGTATCCCGATACACCACATTGCTTCCAAAAAAATTACAGTACTCCCATTTACAGGTGAACATCCAAAAACCAAAATGCAAATCAGAGTCTCGAGGAGAGAATGTCTGACATTCTCCAAAAGCACTGTAGCAGTCACCCTGGATTGAAAGTAACTGTAAAACAAACGTAGCCCCAAATTAATTTCCTATTTCAGCTTTTTTAATAAAAAGTCAACTAAACCTGGACATGAACCTTCATTCCAACTTTCGGCAGGAATCTCCTGTCTCTGAATTGTCATGTACTTGAATATGAAACTTACCTCATGGTTTGAAACAAGATTAGTGAGCACCCAGGTCACATTAGGGGGTGGCCCGCCAGTAGTATCACAGTACAATGTGATGCTCTTCCCTTCCACCACGGTGATGTTGTAATTGCTTAAGTTTGCTGAGGGCAAATCTATGATAGAAACAACAACAAAAAAAAACCCACATGCATTTGTACTTGCAGAAATAGACACTGCTTGATTCTAAGCAAGCTGTATAAATGCAAGCAAAACCACCACTAAATCAGATTTTCACTATGGTCAGTTACTGTTCAGTCAGGGAGTACAAACAGCATCTTTGGAAACATAACCGTGATCTTTAAGCTCCTATCTAACATTTTTCTGTGCCTCCTTTGCTTCATATCTTAAGAAAACATTACTGCATGTGTAAATACATTAAGCTAATTATATAGGGAAATATTTCAGGTGGACCATCAGAAGTTATCGTAACTTCAATTTTTCACTTCAAAACGAAAGGAAAAAACCTTCCCTTATTCTTTAAAACAGGATATTTGATCTGTATCTCTGTAACGCTGCAAAGGACTTCTGTTTTCCATGAACTGATACTGTGGCATTCCCACTGTTGTCCATCACACTAACAGGAAATTCCCATTCGCTCCCAGTATCACACAAGAGATTGCAGCCCTCCCTCTCATGCAGAGACGCAGCTCACAGCAGGGCAAAACCTAGATCTGAAGTACAAAGCGAGGGAAACAGAGCACTGCATGGATCAAACCGGCTGAGAGAAAGGATGGAAGAGAGGGATAGCAATTGCACAGAGCTGCAATCCAGGACACCTCAGCACACTTCGTTATTGCCCTCAGGAAGGCAGAAAAGCAGTGAGATGGTACCACTCACCAGGAAACAAGCCGAGATTTTGCAAGAATCAGGACTCTCCCCCTCCTTCTCACGAAGCTATAAATAACTCCGTTTAAGTAGCTCATTCTTCTGCACCCAAAGCAATGGGAGTTTCCACGAGAGTCAATACGTGTTGAATACTTTAAAAACTGCAAGGAATTACAGACTGACCCTCTTCAAAAATAACGCCCGCAATATCAATAGACTTCAGGCAGAAAGGACCTCACAATTCATATTTACTCATATAGCAAAAAACTATGCAACATGCTAAAAATATCTTTCTTAAAAGATACTGTGCCATCATTTGGAGCTGCTACACTGTAAAAAGCCCTGGCGTCCTTAATGAGGCATTTGTCATCAGCTGTTCCAGGCAAGTTTTACTTGCAATTTATCATCTCAAATAATCAAGTTTATCTGCTTTGCTGCATATGTATGCATGATCTTGCCATGACTTTTCTTTTTCTGAAATCACAGATCCCTTTTTTCAGTCCTGTTTTTCAGTAAAGAGTACAGTAGTTTCATCATGGACTTGCAGGTATACAAGTTCAAAAGACTTTTTTGCTTATGTAAAAAGTCCCATACAAACAATTAACTACCAAATCAGTGTGAACACATTAATATGCTTGCTAAAACTTCCACAGAAGCCATATATATTGGAAATCTCCCTTTAAGTTTAATTAGTTCCATAAAACTAAATGAGAAGAAGTAATATCAAAGAGAAGACAAATAATTTTCCAGGCAATGCTTTCTTGTCTAATAAGATTTGAAGATCACCACAAGTATACAATAACTGCTTAGGCAATTCTCCCAGTGCTTTAAGTAGTGCTGTAATATGATTCCCGTTATAGGCACCATGGATTTCTTCTATTACGTTCACTTTATAAATCATATGTTGAAGTTCATTGAGACGAGCTGGACAGTTTGTACTCTTTGATGCAGTAATCTGTTAGCGAAGGTAGCCATCTGCTCTCGCCTGCTGTGAATTCAAATCGCAGCAGTGTCTGTCAACTAGCTGGGCAGGAAATAAAACTAATCATAGGGAACATTTGGATATTAATTATGCTGGTTAGGGAACAAGGAGAGAAGTAATGAGATCATTTGCTTTATAAAGTTACACTTCCACACCACCTCTGAAAACCATTCCAACTACTCTTGCCAGACCTGAACATGCAAGAGATTAAAGGTCCACACTTCTTCCTGGCCGTAGCACTTGGGAAAGGATCTACATGACAGAATAGCGTTTCACTGTGCAAGCCTGCACAGTTCTTACTAACACATCATTTCACATGAAACCTCTCTTGCAAGCAAAAATAAAAACAACTTTGGTCCCTTATAGCCTTCCTTTAATAGCTGTTAAGTTCTGAGTCAACTTCTTCCTGCAGTGTGTTTATTTACAGGATAGGCAACTCAAGTTTAATTCCTCTGGTACGGGGTCTGGTTCCCATCCAGAATTAGATCTTGTTCTGTCTATTTGCAAAAGTCTGCACATGTCATGTTGGTGTTACACCTCTGAGGGAAACAGCTACATCATGTTTGTATCCTGTCAGACGGTTATAAAATAATACTGCTTATTTTTCTATAGAGTCCTAAAGTTACACTAAAAACCAGTTGCAAGACCTGACAGAAAACCTTGCAGCAAAAAGAAGTGAGTAGAGTGAAGAAGAGAGGAGAGAGGAGAGAGGAGAGAGGAGAGAGAAGAGAAGAGGAGAGAAGAGGAGAGAAGAGGAGAGAAGAGGAGAGAAAAGAGAAGAGAAGAGAAAAGAGAAGAGAAGAGAAGAGAAGAGAAGAGAAGAGAAGAGAAGAGAAGAGAAGAGAAGAGAAGAGAAGAGAAGAGAAGAGAAGAGAAGAGAAGAGAAGAGAAGAGAAGAGAAGAGAAGAGAAGAGAAGAGAAGAGAAGAGAAGAGAAGAGAAGAGAAGAGAAGAGAAGAGAAGAGAAGAGAAGAGAAGAGAAGAGAAGAGAAGAGAAGAGAAGAGAAGAGAAGAGAAGAGAAGAGAAGAGAAGAGAAGAGAAGAGAAGAGATCACATTATTGTGTGTTTTCTTCTACTCCCGTTCCCAGTCATAAGAAATGGGTGGGAGACACATACACTAATTGCCTTGGGATTAATTTTTTCTCGTTGGGTAACTTTAGTTAGTAAACTTTAACTTGGCTTTTATTTCCAGTGGCACCCATACTGCTCAACAGCAGAATACAGAAGAGTTGAGAAGTGGGTCAGTTTGGAAAAAGCAGACAGTAAAGACCTCGTATCGAGAAAATGTGATACATGGGATCTACCAATAATGCTATGAGACTAACAGCAAAACCTGTACTGAAGAATAACTGTACTTGAAAAACCACAATGCACCCTAACAGACACATACACTTGCTATGTATGCTCAGTATAGCATGAGACCATTCATAGAAGTCAGTAGCATTTTGACACCTACACAATTACAAAGATATCTAACCATGCTGCATTTACTCCTGACTTAATTTGGTTAAGTACAGTGTTTTAGATGACTATCACTGCTGTTGATATGGATGTACATCTTAAAGAACTTTGTATACAGTAATCGATCCAAGCAATCAGACAACACGTTCAAATACTTTTGTATACTTCCAGCATAGTAAGTTTAGATTGTGGCATAAAAGCCCATGGAAGGTAGACATGACATCATCCTTCCACAAGTCTCATCTTGATATCTGTCAGACAGAGATTACCCTGTGCCCCAAAGCTTGAAACACAATAGCTCTTTCAAACTTTGATAGCATTAATTATTATAATTCTGGATATCAGTAATAACCCTGCTGGTATCCAATTTCTTTTTTAAGTTTGCTATATTCTTGGCCTTAACAGCCTTCTGCAGCAATGAGTTTCACAGGCACACTGTCCAGGCCATATAAAAGATCCACTTCCTCTTGCCAGTTCTGAAATTCGCAGCATTCAAGTTCACTGAGTGCCCTCCTGTTCTGATGGGACAGAGAAAAGAGAGTTTCTGAATGCTCTTCCTAAGACTACTCTGTTTTATTTCATTTTCTCAACTCCCTGTTCTTCTCAATAATCTATCCAAAGCTTTTCAACCTCTACGAAAGTGGGAGGACAGAACCTGCTACTGATAATTTTAAACTAATGTACAAGTTACGCAGTTCAACAGATGAAAGCGTACACTCAAATCCATGTGTTTCATTATGTATGGGTGAATAACAGCTATGTTATTTCATCACACACAGAATCTCTGTTCTCATATTCAAACTGGTAACACTTTATTCCCAGGAATAGGCAGCTCTGGATAACAATAAGCGATCACTTCCTTCACCCCAGCACACACTGAACACAAGAAACAAGCAGGAGGAACGCATTTATATCAGGTGAGTCTCTCCAAATATTGTTTCATGCTTCAGAAGAAACAAACCCTCTTTTAAGTAGGGGGGGTTTATTTACCTCCAGAGACCATCACTAGTGCAAACCGATGGCCTGAGGCCATCAGACAGAGGAACCGTAAAGCATCACTAGGGAATAGGTCATATCTTCACTGTGCACAGCTGGGACTCCAGCAATCACAAAACCAAATACTTTGGATGAAATTTTCAAAGTTTACTACAGCATTTGGCTCCACAACTGTCAACGGAAATGAATAAAAAGAATGTGCCTAAATTCCTAGAGGGCTTTCAGAGTCCTCATGCTGCTAGTTACTACTTTCCACAGAAAACTCACACTGGCCTTGGTAGAGTCAGACTGTCACTACATGTCAAAGGAATGATTTAACCTAATTAAGAAATAACTGAGTATTAATACAAACTCTGTAGTCTGCAACAAAACTCTCAACACCAAGTTAATTAACAACAAGTTAATTAACAACAAGTTAATGCTCTAGTACAATACAGCAACTTTTAGACAAAGATCTTAAAGCAAGGCGGAAGAATCTACCATTACACTCAAGATGTTGTTTCACGGGTTAACTATCTTCACAGTTAAAAAAATTTTTACAAAATTATTCCCAGATTGACTTTTTTAGCTTCAGCTTTCAACTGTTCAGTTCTGGGATTTGTTCAGCTGCTCAAAAACCTTTACCAAAAAATTCTCTCAATATGGTCAATTAGCCTCACTAATACCTAAGAAATGACATGATGAAGAAATGAACACCTCAGAGAATACCATAAATGCAGTATGACATTCATTCATGCCATCTTTTGCACGCTAAGCCCCTGATTTTCAACGGCCTGTCAACAAAATCCCAGGGCTTCAGCCATGATGCAGTGTCACTAAATGGTTTGCAGTGTGGCCCACAACATCCCT